AAGATGAAGATGAAGATGAAGATGAAGATGAAGATGAAGATGAAGATAAGGATAAACTTTAACTCATCTTAACTTAAAAACTTACGCCACCTGAGCTCACCACACATTAATTCACCACACTTTAACTCCCCACACCTAAATTCACCACACCTCAACTCGCCACACTTTAACCCCCGCACCTAAATCCACCACCCTTAATTCACCACACCTCAACTTTCTCACCACACCTTAACTCTCCTCAACTCACCACACCAAAATTCACCATACCTCAACTTTCTCACCATAACTTAACTCACCACACCTGAATCCACCACACCTAAATTCACCACACCGTAACTCCTACACCCAATTCCACCACACCGCAGCTCACCACACCCAATTTCACCACATGACATGATATCACTTGATGTGGCATCAAAGGCAACATCATTTGGCATAAAATGAACCAAAATAAATAAGATTTAGATAGAGGTGAAAAAAGGGATAAAAAGGAAATACAACTGAAGAGTGTTATATTGTGGTGTGTTATGCTTCATATGTTATGTTATTTATTCTCATGTTATGGTTATGTTATGTTATGCCAAGTACTAAGCTAAACTCCCCTCCACTTAACCCATTCCAACTAATGTTATTTTAGCTCTCTCAACTTACATAAACTATCCTTAATTTTATCGGTTGAATTTCAACCGCTGGGCGAACACTAGTAATCATAATTCTTAACAAAGAAAAGTCATTGGTGAAAAAAAAACATCTGTTTATGCCGCATGTGCCAAAAATTAAAGGGTGATCAAGAGTGATCGTCAATGTTTTATAGAAAATCTCAAATTAAACTCCCTATTACATATTTTGCAAATCCGCAAAGAAGAGAGGCAACTGGCGAACTGGTTGTAGTGCCAAATAACAGGAAGATATATTTTTGTATGTCTTAAATTGGACATGCAAATTGTATATAAAGGAAGTACATAACAAAATTAAAAAATATATGCCTCTTTTGGCTTTTTTCAAAGCTCATTTTGCCTTTTTTCCATTTCGGGTCAGAACACCTACAACCGCCTCCCCCCTCCCCCCCTAAATATGGCCTTGTATGCAACGACGACGTAATTTTATTTTCTGCTACGATTTTTCACGTCATTAACTCCGAAGGTTTGATTAAAACTATAAATTATGCGAATTTTTTGAAAATTTTTTTCGTTTTTTCGGAAATTAATCGAAATTTTGGGGGTGTATAAGTCAAACGGACCTCTTATTCATCATAGGTGGGTTTGGTAAAAGCACACACAATAGCTATTATTTCGACTTTTTTTTACCTGGAAATCTTATTTTAAGTATAAAAACCACAAAAAATTAATGTATTTTGGCGCGGTCAAATGCCGTTTTCCTGATTAAAATAAATGGTAGGAAAGAGGTCATTTTGGTAGGTTTTGGAACCAGTTCTTGGTAGGAAAGAAAGTTTTTCAGTGGTAACCCTGGATTGTAGTCGTTTGACTGCACACCCATCCAACTAGCGTGGGTTCCCATCAGGCAATGCCCGGTGAGAAACCCCATTCAATGCCGGGGCAGTGGTCGGTCCAAGCGGAGTGGGGGTTCGTCAAATCTTGCTAAGATCGGTGAACTCCATTAAGTGTAATTTTTTCACACATTTATTTTATTTGTAATCCAAATGCTTCGAACTTACTTTGCCTTACCGATTTCTAAATAAAAGTTACACATATTTTTAGCAGTTACATTTTAATTTTGGTCATGATTTCCGCCTAACAGGAAGTGTTACTGTAGAGAAAATATGTGTGAAATAAATCCGGATTATCCGTTATTTTTTTCTTAATTTAAAAATGGTGAACCGTTTTTTTTTTAATTGACATTTTTCGAACAACTTGAAAACCGGTTTTCACAAAAAGCGTATAATCCAAAGCAAGAAGAGATCTTTTAAGCTTAAATGGGTCCAATTATAATTTTTGTATAAAAAGCCTGTTTGTTGGTATGCCTGTCGGTCCTGCTGACGAATTAAACCAAATCGTATGGTCCGTTTGGAGAAGCATGCAAGTGTTTACATATATATGTACATATGTATGTATGTATAAACACATCCATATTCATAAAAAATATGCTGCGTGCGGACAGGAAGCTGCGCGGTGGGCATTGAAAGCATGAAAACGCGATTAAACACCTCTCAATTATTTGGATGCACGACTCGCTTCTTATGGGCATTTATTTATTATGTGAATCTAATTGATAACATTTACATTAAAGGACCACAGCCGTTAAGTGGAAACAACTCTGGTAGCCACAATTGTTAACTACTTATGTATGTATATATGAACGATTAGCATCAACGCACGACAAGTTGGCGTATTACGCAGTTGGAATGAGCGCCTCAGCGTCGCTGCGTGTCCATACTTGACATTACATAGTACATATGTACATACATACATACAGCGTGACTCACGGCAGTGGTATCGTCGCCACCTCGGACGCAATAAATAAACGTACGTACGTATGTATGTAGATATGCACTTATAAATGCACATACTTGCAGTCATACATACATACATACATATACATATATGTACATGCCCGCATAATATCTAGCCATAAGCACCATGCAGTTTTAGAAACATTTCATTTACAAGACATTAGGGCAGTCATGCCCAGCGCTATATGGAATTCTGCCAGCGCAGGGCACTTGCTTATGGAGTTCTGTCAACGTTGGGCAGCACTGCATTGGGGCCTTCAGCACTTGCAACAAGTGTGATGCTCAAGTACATTTGAATTGAGTGTTAGATATGTACAGTCCAGTTTAGCAGAATAGACTCAACGTCCTCCAGTAGATATAATTTGATCGTTCAACAGAATAGTTTCTGTGCAATTGATTTCTGATTAAATAAAAAGGGGGCATTTTTTATTATACTAGTATTATAGATTTTGAGACGAGGAACACGATTCCACTGTTCCCAATTCGAAAAAAAAATTTAACACCTAAATTTAAAAAATGCATTATTTATTGATTTTTTTTCTATTTGCATGCAGCTGTGCATCCTTCACTAAATTTTATATCCCACGAACAAGAAGTGCAATTCTAGACCTTTAATTTGAGCCAAGGTAGAACCCTCTAGGCCCAAGTTATAACAATTTAAACCAAAAATCGAAACTGCTGTACTAGTTTTTACTCCGTAATTAGAAAAAAAATTGCGTAAAATGTCGAATGAAATTTCGAAGTTTAACTTCAGAATCGTAATTACTTAGCTCTCAAAGGGCTTGGAGACTTTTCTACCTTGGCTTAAATTAAAGGTCCTGAATAGCACTAAAACTGACTTGTTGTTCGAGATATATAAGATTGTGTGAAGGATGCACAGCTGCATGCAAATCATAAAAAATGCAATAGATATATAATGCATTTTTCAAATTGAAGGGTTGCATTTTTTTCGTTTTTTAAACAGTGGAATCGCGTTTCTCGTCTCAAAATCTTTAATATTAGTATAATAAATAATCCAAAAAAAAAGTATTTTTTTAATATATCCGTTGGATTTTGCATGTTTTTTTCGAAGAACGCTATTTTTGACCAATTTTTTTAAGGTCAAGAAGTGATTGTGGCTCAATGGCAATATTTTTCCTTGAAAGGCAATTATATTAGCTTTCAAAGCCATTTTATTTCATATTAAAATATTGCTTCTGTCGTAAGCGCTACGATTAATTGGTATGAAGTGTTAAAAAAGCACACTGTGTGCCGTGGAGTTAGCCCGAATATCTTATTTTTCAGTCGAGAAATGTAATTTTGAAATTATAAAATTGCTACGGTGTATTTTTCTCAAAAACACATGACTCAAAACATGTGATTTATAAAAATATAATTC